GGAGCGGCCACTGCACTCCAGTCTGGGTGACAGAGTGAGACTCCAACTCAAAAAAAAAACAAAAACAAAAAGCAAAACCAGCAAGATGAAACAGGGAAGGGACCTGGCCTGGAGGAGTTTGGAAGATTTGCTTGGAACAGGGCTGGCTAGGCTGTGTCCGCAGGCGACATTGTCCACTACAGTAGGGATGGTTAGAGGAATGTAGGAAGATGGCAATCTTTACCCTGGAATGGAATGTTATGTCCCAGTCTTTTGACAGTGTATTAAGTAGATGTTTAAGAATACACAGCAGATGGTGAGTGTTAGAATAAAGGAAATCTTCAGACCTAACCTCACATGGTTGAAAGTAGAAAAAGTGAGAGAAAAGACAAGGGAATTAGCGGAGGTGGTCTAGTCAGGATATCATTTCTTGTTCCAGGGTTGGTGGTTTAAATGGTGGCAAGTGTGGGTTCTAGACCTGGTTAGGTAACTTGGCGAGACCTCATCTCTACAATGAATCAAAAATTAGCCGGGCATAGTAACACACGCCTGTAGTTCCAGCTACTCGGAAGACTGAGGCGGAAGGATCTCTGGAGCCCAGCAGGTTGAGGCTGCGGTGGCCGGGAGCGGCCACTGCACTCCAGTCTGGGCGACAGAGTAAGACTCCAACTCAAAAAAAAAAATAGTGGCAAAGACAGCAGACTGTATTGGGTCAGATAGCTTTTGATTTCTGTAAATATCTTGTAAAGAGAATCTTAGAGTCAAAGTTAGGCAGCAAAAGTGACAGGAGTGTGGTAAAGAAGGTCTCCTTCCAAGAGGGAAGTAATTTCCTCGGTCTTATTATTCTTGGACAAACATACTAAAGATGATAAAGGAATAAAGTCTGGGGTTAAAAGCTCAATTAAATGCCAACAAGAAACACAGTTTTGAAAATAAATGATTAGATCTAAATCTTGCAGTCGGGGTGGGTCTCCAAGATGGCACAAACTCAACTGAAATAAATAAGTGGAACCCCTTGGCTCATGTCCTAAAATTCCATGGCAAATGATACATGCAAGGAGAGGGAAATTTTGAGGAGCATCTGGAAAAACATTAAACATCCTGGGGATGCTCTTACAGACACAACAGTTACCCATAGGACAAGCAGAACAGCAAAACAAAGGTGACTGAACGAAAATGAAAGTTTGGGAGAAGAAACCAATGCAGACACAAAAAGGAGACTGATGTCTGAAAGAGAAGAATCCACAGCAAGGGATTAGTGGCTAAGTCTGGCTTTGAGACCTAGAAAAATGTGGGTTGAGAGTGTGCTGCTTGTGGAGACAGCTCCTGTTGGTTATGCCACCAGCGGTCATCTCTTTTCCTCTTAAATGTCTCCGTTTTCTCTCTGAATGCTGAAGGTAATCATGGGGCCCCTGAGTGCCGGATGACCAATCCTAATCTATACCCCCCCAGGTGAGACAAGTCTACCAGATAAGATGCTTGTGGAGTTCCTTATGAGGCCCTTGCACGTCATGGGGACAGTTCCCTTGATATATTTGTAAGACCCTCAGTCTCCCAAGAGTACCTATTTTCACAAACTGAAGGGGAAAATGCCTCTTATTTTCGACCTGGAGTGAAACCCAAGGTCTTAGTGGAAAGGGACTCCCTTTCTATGAGGTTTTGTCACCAACCCTCACTCATACAAGACAATAAAATACTGTCCTCCATTTATCCTAGTGGGTCCCCTTTGTGGTTGCTAAGAAAGTATCAGCAGGATGTTGGCTGGATATTAGTTGGTCACTCATGAACAGAGTTGGACATGACGGTAGACTTTTGACAAAAGTAAAGCAAGCAAGTACACTCCTAAGGGTCAAGAGGAGTGGGCTTGGAGATTGAGTCAGCCTCGTTTGTTCTTTTGGTTTGGCTTTTATAGTTCATTTGTGGAAAGTTTCCACAATTAATTAGTTCTGATGTTTCCAGGTTTCAGATGGTTAGTTACCTCTCGCGCTTGGTTGTACCTTTCGTGGTTTGGTTGTTGCAGCCTGGTGAAATTGAGTAAATAACTAAAAGTCGGCTATCTTCTGTACCTTACCCTCCCCCTTAGTCCTCTGCTCATGTCTGTTTTAACTACCTAACATTGGTTCCATGATGTGAAATGCTTAGAGGTAAAAGTGATCAGAGCAGGGAGATGTTACCAGTTTCATTTGGTTACAGGTTGCATCTGGCTGAACACAGGAGAAGGTACTGTGAGGTTAAGGGAAAAGGAAGAAGGATATGGGTTGAGGATACTGCTGTAATCCAAGTGAGGGGTAATTGACCAGATTCTGGCTAAAGAGATGTGGCTGGAATGAAGATTCACATTATTTAAAAGCAAGCCTAGATTTTCTAATATGTTTATTCAGGGTATGAAGGAGAGGCATCAGTTATGACCCCAGTATTTTTGTACTTAGCAGCTGTAGCCATGGAAGCTGCCTGCATGAATGAAGATGAACAAGTTGGCTGTAGGCAAATGTTTTGGCTGGACATACAGGTTGGGGCATCTGGAAAAGGACTGATATTGGAAGCATTTACTATATTGTTGCTAATGTGTGGACTATGGTGAGTTAGCTCTGGGTTACATTTAGTATGGTACACTGCAGATTATGGTGATACACCTTTTTTTTTTTTTTGAGTTGGAGTCTCACTCTGTCACCCAGACTGGAGTGCA